GGACGGCTAGTTGAGTTCCAGGCGACCGGCCACAGAGTGATGCCAGGAGCCGGAATGTGACGTCATATCAGCGCTCCCTCGTCACCCGCCTGGACCTCAGCTAGCCGCCTGCCACCAGACTAAGAAGATTTTTGCCTGGGCATTTGGGAGCAGCGTTTTTTGCTGTCCCCTGGAAAGTGCCGCCCAAGGCAAATGCTTTGTTTGCCTCGCGGCAAATACAGCACTGCCTCCACCACCTTGCTTGACAGTTGGTTTGAGTTGTTTATGCTGATATGCTGTGTTATAAAATTGGTTTTATTGGTTTTCGCCAAACATGGAGCTGTGCATTATGGCATACATCTTCACTTTGGTCTCGTCTTTCCAAAGGACATGTTCTAGAAATGTTGTGGTTTGTTCAGATGCAATTTTGCAAACCTAAGCCATGCTGCAATGTTCTTTATAGAGATAAAAGGCTTTCTCATGGCAACCATTCCAAACAGACCATACTTGTTCAGTCTTTTTCTAATTGTTCTGTCATGAACATTAATATTTAACATGCTAACTGAGACCTGTAGAGTATGAGATGTAACTCTTGGGTTTTTGCAATTTCTCTGCACATTGCACGGTCTGACCTTGGGGATAATTTGCTGGTACATCTACTCCTGGGAAGATTGGTAACTGTCTTGAAAGTTTTCCACTTTCTCACTGTGAAATGATTAACTTTAAATTGTTTGGAAATGGTCTTGTAACCCTTCCCAGCTTCATGGACATCGACAATTGCTTCTCTAAGATCATTGCTGAAGGTTTTCCACCTTCGCATTGTGTTGATGCACACCTGACTGCTCCAGACAAGCAAACTTCTAACTAAAACTTCAGCTTTTATAGAGGTGGGCACACTTGCTGATGATCAATTAATCAAGGGCATTTGATTAGCAGCACCTGCCTGCTACTTGGCCTCTTAATTCCCATGGAAGCAGTAAGGGTGTACTTAGTTTTTCACACATGGCTTCTCTTTGGCTTTATTTTTGTTAAATAAATCATTACACTCTGTAAAATGTCATGTGTTGTTGTTCATCTGATGTTGTATTTACCTAATTTTAATACCTGCTAAGGAACAGATGATTGTTATTATGTCCTGGTATGTAATACTATTAAATTCAAAGAGGGTATACTTTATTTTTCCTATGACTGTATGTATGTATATATATATATATATATATATATATATTTATTTATTAATAAGGTAACGAACATTACTGTGTTTTAACTGTTACTCCACAATCGGATGGTAGCTGTTTCTCTGTTTGTATACAAGTCATACAAGTTACCGAGGCAAAGCCTTCCATACATAATCACTCTGTCCCGGTCACTAAGGCTATGAAATCCTCATATACATTTGCACTCACAGTGCATGATGATTAGCTGAATGATGCGCGCCTATGAGAAGACATCACAAAGGACAAAATAGGATCCTGGAAAGGATTAGTTAAGGAGGTTGAATCCATGTGGGGATGTAGCATGTTTCGTTGAGGACCCGTAAAGTTAAAAAGTGGATTAAGCAAGCTGGACATACATCGATTGAGGAAGCTTTGAGGAGTTGCAAGGAACTTTTGTATGTACTTTATTTATTTATTTGTTTTTGTTTTAAAGCATATTCCTTGTTATTTTATTTAACGAAACAAAAGCATATATCTGTACTATATATCCCTGCCTGGAAGTCCAGCTTTGTCACACAGCTGACTGTATGGCAGTTGCTACCCCTTTATAGCACACTATAAAGAGCCATTTCTTAAAGGCCCCTACATGTGAATGTATCTCTGAATGTTATTTAAAGGGGCATCCCACTGCCCAAAATGGACAAAAAAGTACAAATCACTGTTTAATAGACACCCCCCAATTAATACATGCATGCATGTTTCATTCATGTAGTCATTAGCGGCATACCTTAAAAAGGCTTGCCAAAAACGGCAGTTCTTTTGAACTGCAGCCTTTGCAAGGACTCCCCTTTTTCCCTGAAAGAGACCAGCGGCGGAACAACTGCCGTTGTGGCTGCACCGGGGTTCGCACGCTGAGGGTGCCCATCAGGTGGCCCGTTTAGTAAGGGCTTCCTGATGGCAATGTGTCTTCAGGGACCCGGTCAGCGCCGCTTCCCTTTAATAGCGCAACCTGGCCCCCTGTAATGATGCCAGCTCAGGGAGGAAGTGAGAGCCAGCCACTTTCTCCCAGGCAACAAAGAGCTGTATGGTAGAGGCAGAAAAGGGAGCGCGGAATGGGAGCTAGATGGACCCCTGGGAAGCCACCCTCCTGCACCTTTAAGGTAGGAAAAAAAAAATTACATTATGCATGTGTGTCACGGTTCGCACAGTGCCAAGCATGGACATCACTTCTTAGGGTTTGGATGGGATTGAACCTGGGTCTTCTTCACCACAGTCAGTGATCTTACCTAATCACCACTTCTCATGTTCATTTGTGTTCATTTCTCATGCTATGGTATCTGCATCACTAAGCTTGGACTACTATCACACCTGCACGTGGTTCCTGACTAAGTAGCTTATAAGCCCTGCCTTGCCACTTCCTCCTTGTCAGATTGTTTTGTGACCTGTGTTGGAAATTGCTTAGTTCATCTGACGCCTACTTTGACTTTCACAACTGTTTACCCATTTTGCCTGGCTTACGCCTGCCCTGACCACTGCATCCCTACCTGACTACTCTTTTGGAATTCCCTTGTCTGTTCTGTGTATCCAGGAGTACTTTTGTTGCAAAGCCCCAGTGCATTGTTTCATAACCTTGGAGATTTCTTCCTAGAGTCTCCTCGGTTCGTGTTAAACTGCAAGGGTTTGCCTTAACTCACCACTTTGGACTCCCACCTCCAGGTAAGATTATTACAGTGTGTCTGTGTATTTATATGTGTGTCTGTCTGTATGTGTGTGTCTGTATGTGTTCTGTGTATTTATAAAGGTATGTGTCTGTGTATCTATATATGTGCCTGTGCATCTATATGTGTGTATATATCTGCGTGTGTGTGTGTATCTATCTACATGTCGGTATGTGTGTTTGTGGATTTATCTGTGTGTCAGTATTTGTATCTGTGTATCTGCATGTGTATCTGTGCATCTGTATCTTTTACTAAACTTTTACAACAGTACATAAATACACAACACTACACACATTCACCCCTACAGTCACACACACACACAAACATACACATATATTGTCCATGCAAACACATGCTTACATTTAAACACAAAAACAACTGCTCAGTGCTAAATACAACCCTAGCAATGGAAGGGGCCCTTAAAAAGTATTGCACCAGGGTCCTGTCTTCTTCTACTGCCACTGGAAGAGACTATCAGAAGTTTCTCATGGAAAAGCCTCCAAAGCTATCCCTCTGTGCACATTCACTCATGTTGTACACTCATTACACAGCATCTGAAGTCTGAGAAGTAGGTAGGCAGGGAACGGAAGCAGAACACAATGCTCCCCGGCTGTCTGGTTGCAAGCCAGGGTGTGTGTGCTTTAATTATAAAAGTGCTGATTTCTCATAGAAATCAGCATTTTTATAAAATGCCCTTGGAAATGCATATTCCTTACCCAGTAAGCACTTCATCATAAGTAAGTGCTTTATCAGTGTGGAGTGGTCCCTTATCTAGTGCCATTTGTTGCCACAATCTCTACAGTCTGCTACCTTGCATTCTTCTTTTTGAAGTAACATCAGGACGTCTGTGAGACAACTGTAGGGTGTGGTGGAACCCACAAAGACACCAACTGTGCTATTCATTAGAGCCATATTGGTTCTTTATCTTGTGAGTTCAAATTACATTAAAATTAGTATTTAATGTATATAGTTACAGTATTACCCTATGTGATTTGTTATCTTTTTTGTTTCGCACATAATTTAAAGTAAAGTTAGGTAAATGTATTTGTGCTTTTTGCAGGCTCTACCTTTATTTTACCTATATTTACTTACTTTTTGGCGTTTATTGGAATGATTTATACATGGGTGTTCTTTGTAGTGTTTTTCATTGCAGTATTACTTGCATTTATTACTTTTAGCAAAAAAAAACATATTTGTATATTTTGTATTCAATCAATATATATATATATATATATATATATATATAAATTTTATAGCTCCTACTTTCTTCCCCCTATTGGTCACATTTCATCTGTAAATAAAATCAACATTTAGTGTCGTCCTCTAACCACAAATTATCTATTTGGATGCAGAGGAGGAGCCCAAACCAGTACCAAGGGACATCCCTGCTGGAATCGGGTAAATGCAAAAAGGGGTTTTAACTCTGTTTTTACTGTGGGGGAGGGGAGAGCAATGGGGATGGGGAAAGGGACAGTATGCCTTATTTTAATATGGTAAAATGTTACATCAGTGTTAGTTGTATTAACCCCTTAAGGACGGCGGCGTGCTATGCAGTCCTTGGGTACCCGGCTCTATACGCTGGTGGGCGGCATAGCACATCCCCGCTGTCCTATTCACTTGCCCGGTCGCCGGCTATCCCACATCGGCAATCGCGGTGGGGGACTCAACTGGCATTCCAGGGAGTCCCTCTGCTGCTGTTCTGGCCCTCTCTTGGCCATGTGATCGCGAGGTCCTTGCGAGGACCTCACGATCACATGGACGGCATAGCCGTCCACAGCAGTGCTAGCAGGGGGAGTGCCTGTAATTACAGGTACTCCCCCTGCTGCCTGTAAAATGTAAAAAAAAAAAAGTTAAAAAACAATTTAAAATGAAATATATACTTGTACAGCACCCTCACACATACAGCACACACATACAGCACACACAGCACCTTCACACATACAGCACCCTCAAACACACAGCACAGAAACAGCACCCTCACAAACACACACACAGCACACTAACAGGACCCTAACAAACACACAGTACACAAACTCCCTCACACACAGCACACAAACAGCACCCTCACACACACATCACACTAACAGCACCCTCACACACACACACACACACACATTACCCTCAAACCACCCTCACGCAGCACACACACACACAGCAGTGTGTGTGTGTGTGTGTGTGTGTATGTATGTATGTATGTATATATATATATATATATATATATATATATATATATTTACATACACACACACACCTACATATATACACGCGGCGTGTTTGTGCTTTAGGGTGCACACCCTAATGCAATAGGCTGCACACGCCTATGATGGGGTGCAGTAAAGTGTAAATTGACTTACCCCAGGTGCTGTGTGTTGAAACCGGCGTCTTGCCGGACCCAGTGCGCATGTGCAACGTAAGCTCCACCCCTAACCGTGAGGTCATTGCATTTGTATCACTGCCATTACCATGGTGACGCAGCATACTGAAAATTGCCATAGAGACATGTAAACACAATCGTGGGAACCTATTATACCGTGCAAACGATTTTATAAGTGCCCAAATAACAAATATATGGGCATAGTGAAGACAGCACAGCCCCTAAGGGGTGTATTAGGACGAAGGTGTAAGAGATCCATAATGGATCATATTCTTAAAGTGCTATGCAAGTGAATGAATGTTAAAAGGGCTGTTTTGCTTAAAGTGACATATCCAGGCCATACTTATCGCAGAATGACTATATATAAAGTGCTACTGTATATAAAGTGCTTTTGATAAGATAAAAGTGCTAATCTGACTGTTTGAAAAGTGATCTTGTGCACAGAATGCATATAGTGATAAAGTGCAAACTAGTGGTGAAAACAATAATGTACAGTAACCTAAAATTCTTGCATAACTATAGATTACATGCATAAATGAGTCTATTAGAGGTACATATATAATTTTTCCATGCTTCTCAGTTGCAAAATTTAGTGCACCCTTTATAATTTTGGGCATCCAGTATTATGCATATTTCTAGTATATGAGAAAAATACTGCTACCACAACATCCTCACAATAATAGGCTCATTATGCTGAATTTTGAAAAAAGATATACAATTACAAAATTAAAATAAAAGCAAGCTGGGAAAAATACAAAGATTAATCTACAAGAATGAATGTATAGACAAAGATTCATTGAGTCCTCTCGGGGACACTGTGTTCAGTTCATATATCCAGTACGCTTCTTTGTTTAGAAGCATCTTTCCTTGATCACCACCTCTCTTGGGTACAGTAATGTGATTAATTGCCAAGAATTTCAGTGTAGCCAGAGGGTGCTTAAATTCAAATAAGTGTTTTGCAACAGGTTTGTCTGAATTTGTCTATATGCCAGTCGGATGCTGGATCTGTGACCCCTGATATGTTCGCAGATAGCCGTCTCTGTCTTCCATACATATATACAGTTGCAAGAAAAAGTATGTGAACCCTTTTGGAATGATATGGATTTCTGCACAAATTGGTCATCATCTAAGTCACAACAATAGACAATCAGTCTGCTTAAACTAAAAACACACAAAGAATGAAATGTTGCCATGTTTTTATTGAGCACACCATGTAAACATTCACAGTGCAGGTGGAAAAAGTATGTGAACCCTTGGATTTAATAACTGGTTGAACCTCCTTTGGCAGCAATAACTTCAACCAAATGTTTCCTGTAGTTGCAGATCAGACGTGCACAACGGTCAGGAGTAATTCTTGACCATTCCTCTTTACAGAACTGTTTCAGTTCAGCAATATTCTTGGGATGTCTGGTGTGAATCGCTTTCTTGAGGTCATGCCACAGCATCTCAATCGGGTTGAGGTCAGGACTCTGACTGGGCCACTTCAGAAGGCGTATTTTCTTCTGTTTAAGCCATTCTGTTGTTGATTTACTTCTATGCTTTGGGTCATTGTCCTGTTGCAACACCCATCTTTTGTTGAGCTTCAGCTGGTAGACAGATGGCCTTAAGTTCTCCTGCAAAATGTCTTGATAAACTTGGGAATTCATTTTTCCTTCGATGATAGCAATCCGTCCAGGCCCTGACGCAGCAAAGCAGCCCCAAACCATGATGCCCCACCACCATACTTCACAGTTGGGATGAGGTTTTGATGTTGGTGTGCTGTGCCTTTTTTTCGCCACACATAGTGTTGTGTGTTTCTTCCAAACAACTCAACTTTGGTTTCATCTGTCCACAGAATATTTTGCCAGCACTTCCTCTGTGGTATCCTCCCATGAAATCCATTCTTGTTTAGTGTTTTACGTATTGTAGATTCACTAACAGGGATGTTAGCATTTGCCAGTGACTTTTGTAAGTCTTTAGCTGACACTCTAGGATTCTTCTTCACCTCATTGAGCAGTCTGCGCTGTGCTCTTGCAGTCATCTTTACAGGACGGCCACTCCTAGGGAGAGTAGCAGCAGTGACTGAACTTTCTCCATTTATAGACAATTTGTCTTACCATGGACTGATGAACAGCAAGGCTTTTGGAGATACTTTTATAACCCTTTCCAGCTTCATGCAAGTCAACAATTCTTAATCGTAGGTCTTCTGAGAGCTCTTTTCTGCGAGGCATCATTCACATCAGGCAATGCTTCTTGTGAAAAGCAAACCCAGAACTGGCGTGTGTTTTTTATAGGGCAGGGCAGCTGTAACCAACACCTCCAATCTCATCTCATTGATTGGACTCCAGTTGGCTGACATCTCACTCCAATTAGCTCTTGGAGATGTCATTAGTCTAGGGGTTCACATACTTTTTCCACCTGCACTGTGAATGTTTACATGGTGTGTTCAATAAAAACATGGCAACATTTCATTCTTTGTGTGTAATTAGCTTAAGCAGACTGTGATGGTCTATTATTGTTACTTAGATGATGCTCAGATCACATTTTATGACCAATTTGTGCAGAAATCCATATCATTCCAAAGGGTTCACATACTTTTTCTTGCAACTGTGTGTGTGTGTGTGTGTGTGTGTGTGTGTGTGTGTGTGTGTGTGTATATATATATAAATATATATATATATATATAAAATTTGATTTTAAACTGTCTTATTTATTTATTTAATTTTTTTTTACAGGCAGCAAGGTGAGTACCTGTCATTACAGGCACTCCCCCTGCTGGCATTGCTGTGGACGACTATGCCGTCCATGTAATCGCGAGGTCCTCGTGATTACATGGCCCAATGGGGTCGAAACGGACAGAGGGGGACTCCGTGGGCTGCCAGGTGAGTCCCTGCACTGTGATCACTGCGTGGGATCGCCGGCGACCAGTTAAGTAGAAAGGACGGCAGGGACGTGCTATGCCACTCCCCCGGCGTTGAGAGCCAGGTCCCCAAGGATGGCATAGCACGCCCGCTGTCCTTAAGGGGTTAATGTCTGTGTGTTGCGTTATTTTGAGGGGACAGCAAACTTACACTGTTATACAGGCTGTACACTTACTACTTTACATTGTAGCAGAGTGTCATTTCTTCAGTGTTGTCACATGAAAAGATATAAAAAAATATTTACAAAAATGTAAGGGGTGTACTAACTTCCTTCCGTGTGGTCTGTCTTTTTCACAGAGGTGGAAAGATCAAAGATAGATCCTGGCTGCTGCGGAAGTGCAAGGATATGCCCATACCGGAGGCGCTGGAAACAGCTAAGCCAAGACTGACTGCACTGGCAACCAGATTGAGCAGATACACCAGAGAAGCAGAGGCTAAGAGAATCAATGCCCTCTTTACCAAATAACCATCCAAGGTGTATGCACAGCTACAGGGTAACCACCACATCTCCTCGCAAGACCCACCCAGAGCTGAGACTGAACAGTACTGGAAGAATATCTGGGCGCAAGAAGCATGTCATAAAACTGAGGCCCAGTGGCTACTAGACCTAAAAGCAGACCACTGCATGCTGCCAGAACAGGAACCAGTCATCATCACAGTCGAAGATATCCAACCGAGAACAGCACACATGAAGAGCTGGTCAGCCCCAGGACCTGACATGATCCACAACTACTGGATAAAGAAGTTAATAGCGCTGCATGAACGCCTAGCAGCACAAATGAACCAGCTACTAGCAACAGGCTCCCACTCTGACTGGCTGACACAAGGCAGAACAATACTGGTCATGAAGGACCCTCACAAAGGAACAGCACCATCCAACTACTGACCAATAACCTGCCTCCTCACAACATGGAAACTTCTGTCAGGCATCATAGCCTCCAAGATCCAAGGGCATATGAGTCAATATATGAGCAATACTCAGAAGGGGATTGGAATCAACACCAAAGGATCAAACACCAACTACTGGTAGACCAAGCAGTCACAAGAGATTCTAAGAACAGACAGACCAATCTGTGTATGGCCTTGATTGACTACAAGAAAGCCTATGACACAATGCCACACGCATGGATACTGGAATGCTTGGCTCTCTACAAGGTCAGCAAGACAATAAGAGCCTTCATCAAGAACTCGATGGGCAAGTGGAAAACAACTCTAGAAGCCAATTCCAGGACGATAACTTAAGTGAACATTAAATGTGGCATATACCAAGGTGATGCGCTATCCCCAATGCTGTTCTGCATAGGCCTCAACCCCCTCAGCCAGATCATCAAGAAGGGTGGATACGAATACAGGTTCAAAACTGGAGCTACTATCAGCCACCTATTCTACATGGAAGACATCAAGCTGTATGCCAAGAATGAGCGAGACATTGACTCACTGATCCACCTAACTAGAAAATACAGCAAGGACATCGGAATGTCATTTGCACTAGAGAAGTGCGGGCGGATTATAGTAAAAAGAGGGAAGATGATCAGGACAGAAGGAGTTGAAGTTCCAGACAGCCAAATAGAAGATGTAGAGAACAGCTACAAGTACCTGGGGTTACCATAAACGCATATCAACCATGAGGCAAGGAGGATAGCAACATCAAAGTACCTCCAAAGAGTCAGACAGGTCCTGAAGTCCCAGCTCAATGGCAAGAACCAAACCATCAACACATATGCCCTACTTTAAAAACCAATTTGAACATTAACTTTGACCATTGTTTGTAATATAATGGCTACTAAAAAAGACTGGACGTGCTCCATTTTGAATACCCTAGGTTGTCCATTTGCAAATAAATGCAAAAAAAGAAATGGGCAAGTCCTATATTCAACCCTGTAACTTTCCAAAACAAATAAAACCTTGACATGGGGAGTACTGTTGTACTCATAAGACATTACTGAGCATAGATATGAGTAATTTAGAGCATTAAAACATATAATGCTGATATCATCAGTGAAAGGGCGGTATATTTGTGAAAAATGCAAAAATAAATATGAACGTTAACTTTGCCTAGTGTTTGTGACTAAGACTGGACAAACCACATTTTGAATACTCTGGGTTAACTACTTTTCCAAATGGTATGCCATGATGGGGGTAATTTTCATTCCTGGGCTACCAAATGGTCTCAAAGACAACATACCCAATCTGGCAAAAGTCAATGTGTAAAAACATTAAAGGGGAAGGACCAGTATATGTCACTGAATTTCCAAAACACCATAAAACCTGTACATGGGGGTAATTTCTCACACTTTTCTAGTTTTTATTCCTACATAAATTATGTTTCATTTATTAATATTTAATGTGTAATGAAAGCCCTGTTTATCTTAAACAAAATGATAGATAATAAGTGTGGGTGCACCGAATATGAAAGAGGTGAATAATGGATGAACAGACATATAGCCAAATTCTAGGGTTTGTTTTGATTTTGTTCTGATCAGAACGTGTGCAATTGCCTCAGTCCATAAGTGGTTAATAGAAATGTCTTAGCTAAACTTCTGCTTAGGAGGATCCGTTCGGTCTCCTGAGCTAAGTTCATTGACTGAGCGCATCAGCTGATCTTGGCCAATAAACTAAGCCCTGCATTGCTGGATTTAGCTCATAAGGCAGGCAGTGGTGCTCTGTGAACCACAGGTAAGATGTCAAACTTCTCTAAAATGTTTAATAACTTGCAATGGTGAGGTGTCAGGGAAGTACTGGCAGCATAACCACTAAAGTGTACTGAAGTCATTATGTTGCTTAAAATTCTTTTAATAAATGCTGTGTGTTTTACATATATATTATTCCTTCTGCTTTGATATTAGAGGAATAGGTCTGTAGCTTGAAGGTGTAAATATCAGAACTTTGATTCATGCTATTATAGGTAAAGTTAGTTCTGTATATCTTTCTGATATAATGTATCATTATATAGTTAATTAATCTGCTTGACAAGTAATGTTAATCTTCTAGTCATGCCCCTTCTTGATGGTAATTCAGTCTTCTTATTATTAATTGCAAGTTGGTTTGGCTTTTACTCACATATCTCAGATCATTTATCTTTAATTAGAGCCATATAATGCTAACATAGATTAATTATTCTGGCTACCCAATTGCCTCTATAACTGTTTGGTATTTTGTTCGGTTAAGTATTTAACTAGAATATTAAATGACCACTATAGTGCCCTGAGGGTGCCACCACCCTCATGCCCCCCCTCCCTCTGGGCTGAAGTTGGAGGAAGGGGTTAAACACTTACCTTTCTTCAGCGCCAGGCTCCCTCGGCGCTGGGGACTCTCCTCCTCCTTTGGACGTCATCGGCTGAATACGAATGCGAGGCAAGAGCTGCGCGCGCATTCAGTCAGTCCATAGGAAAGCATTCTCAATGCTTTCCTATGGACGCTGGCGTCTTCTCACTGTGAAAATCGATGAGACAGCCACTAGAGGCTGGTTTCTCTGAAACTGCTATGTTTACAGCAGGCAGGGTTAACCCTAGAGGGACCTGGCACCCAGACCACTTCATTGAGCTGAAGTGGTCTGGGTGCCTATAGTGGTCCTTTAGGTATATAATTTAGTATGAGTACTTTTAAGTGCGTTAGATTATTTCACACAGCAATACGTCCATACTGACACAAACACAAGTCACATACATGTCACTTTTGCCTGTCTTCCTGTAATCAGATTCTTCAAACACACATAGCACACTGTGGGTCTCTTATTGGTGAATACTATTTCTTTATTTTTTATATAAAACATATTGTACATGGAGGGTTTACCATGACAAAAGAGATTGTGGTTTGTTGAGGAACATGCGGCTAATGCATATTGATGAGCATTCATACATGCGTATATTCAAAGTATGCTTTTCAAAAACTGGTAGCCACTGAGTTGTAGTACAAGTAAATAAACTCTTAGCGTATCTAACAGGCTTGACGTAGTGGTTGTTAAAAATAGGGATTTCATGGCTAGTTTTGCTGTTAGTATGGGGTCATGGGGATGGGAAGTGGTGTATTTTGGATCTGTGCTGCCCTAGGCATGACAGAACTCGAGCACCCCCTAATTTACATTTGCCCCACCCCTTCTTGTCAAAGACACAAACACACCTTGACTGACAGACACACACTGATTTGACACAATCACTGACACATATAATGACGCAGACACACACACACATACACACACACACACACACTGACAGGCATAGGCAATCAGACAAACACACACATTCACTGACACTCACTCATAGACACATACTGACAGACACACACACTCACAGACACACTCACAGACAGACTGAAACACACATGTGCCCTCACAGACACACAATCACTCAGACACACAGGCTCCCTCACAGACACACACTGACAGGCATACTCTCACTCACAGACACACACAATCACTCAGACACAGACAGACTCACTCACTCACACATGGACAGACACACTGACAGAAATATACACACACTAACAGCCACACACACACATTGACAGCCATCCAGCCAGACACACACACACATTTCCTCCCCCAACACTCACAGATTATTTTTTATTTTTTTTTACCTGGGGTCCAGTGGGGCTGCTGGCCAGGCTGCTTGGGCAGGGAGGGAGGGAGTCGTGCAGGCAGTTGGGCAGCTAGCTGAATTCCAAGGCGGGCGGCGAAGGAGCGCTGATTTGTGAGCTCTTTCTGCTCAGCTCCGCCACGTACCGCAGAGGCAGAATCAGGGGCGTTTTAGCGGCGAGGCAAACAAGGCATTTGCCTTGGGCGGCATTTTTCAGGGGGCCTTGCGGCTAACAGACATGCCGAGCGGGTGGCGCTGTGCTGTGCAGGTGGCTGGCGAGGAAGCTCTTCCTCTGAGCTGTCCGCAGAGTGATGCCAGCCTCACTCTGCGGCGCGCAAGGGAGCTGAGCGACAGCTCAGAGGAAGAGCTCCCTCGCCAGCCGCCCGCCCAGCCCAGCGCCGCCCGCAGCCACTGGACCACCAGGGAGATAGAGACCCCCTTTCCCCCCAGCATTCCCAAAGGTAAGGGGGGTGGGGGGGTAAATTTAAAAAATGTATTAATGTGTGTGTGTTTGTTAGTGTGTGTGTGTCTGACTGTGTGTATGTGTGTGTCTGACTGTGTGTGTCTGACTGTGTGTGTCTGTTAGTGTGTGTGTCTGTTAGTGTGTGTGTGTGTTAGAGTGTGTGTGAGTGTATTTAGAAGGCGGGGCGGGGGGAAGGGTTTTGTGGGGGTGGGGCAGTGGATATACCACTGCGCAGAGTGATGCCGGAATATGATGTCATAAGGTGGAACTCAGCTAGCCGCCTGCCACCAAGCTAACAAGGTATTTGCCTGGGCATTTGAGGTGTTTTTTTCCGCCCCCTGGAAAGTGCCGCCCAGGGCAAATGCCTTGTTTGCCTTGCGGCAAATACGTCACTGGGGATGTTTTGTCTCCACTAAAAGGATGTATTATTGGACAATTACAGCAGGCTAACATCAGTCTAAATCTATCTGGGGTATAGCCCAGCAAAACTTGCTTTGCGATGCAGGTATAAACAGTATCATTAATGAAAGAAAGAAACCAAAAACAAACATAAAACATTATGTTGGGCATTGCTTAAGGGATTCCTAGTCCTGTTGCCCGGTGGGGCAGCATGAATCCTAGGCAAGGCTCAGGCAGTCAGGTGCCTTGCAAGTTGTTGTTCCTGTTACAATGAATGAAAGGTGTGATGTTTGCAGGATCCCATGTGCCTGCTTCAGGTAGTGCTAGTCCCAAGGCTTTGAAAAAGACGTGGGTGTCAGTAGGAGAGCGGAGTATGTGTGTAGTTCTATTATGGTTCACCACCAGAGAGCCCAATGTTCCCCACTGGTATGGTACTCCAGAACGTGAGGTGAGTAGCAATAGGACTCATGGATCTACGCCATTACAGGGTGGTTTTAGTGAGATCCTGAAAAAGGTTAAGAGGGAGTCCTCAAAAGACAGTGGTGTCTTGTCCCGCAGCGCTGCCATGATTTGATTCTTATTTGTGGCCGAGGTGCAGCACACTATAACATCCCGTGTTGCAGCAGGGTGATTCGATTTTTATGCCTTCCAAGGTAAGTGTCTTCGCCACCGCAGGTGGCAGAATAGAGGCCAACAGCCTCCTGATGTAGTGTGGTAATTCTACCGCTGTTATCTCAGCAGGGATTCTGTGGACTTTAATATTATTGCAGCGTTGGTGGTCTTCGAGGGATGTTATGTTATGTTGGTGAGCATGGAGTTGGTGGACTGCACCGCTTAGGTTGGTAACAACAGTGTCCATGATGTCTTCCTCTGTCTCTTTGATGCAGTCTGTGTTGTCATGGATCTCTGTTCTAATTAGTGCCTGGTCTGCTGCCATTATCTTATGGAGGTTGGAGAGGAGGATTTTAAGGTCACTCTTGGTTCCTTTCATGAAGGCTAAAAATGT